TATATATATATATTTAAATATTAAATTAAAAATATTAATTTCCAACAGATAACGATACCAAAGATGTAAGCAGGAGAAAGTATATGATGAAATTGATTTAGCTAGGCGTGTTGTTGGAAAAGTGTGGCTTAGCAGAGGGGAGCATGATTTTTTTTTTCGACAATGTTACGTCGGTTATAATATAACGGATGTTGTATTTTATGTCGCCGACATCTGACTCGATTGTACAACTAACATAAAATGTCTACTTTAACTGACTTAAGAGATCTCGTTTACACTAGTGAGAGAACCTATGTTCTCGAAGAATAAATTATGAAAATGCAGAAGACTAAACAAATATATATTGGATTGTCTTTTAGAAAATCTACACTAGCTAGGATATTTCACCTTTGTTGGAGGTAATCTAGTATGATGACGAAGCAAGAAGTAGAAAGTTATTGTAGCTTTATCTAGCATTGAAGCAGAATTTCAAGGAATGTTCCAAGGACTGAGTTATTGTAGGTAGAAGATTATTAACTGAAATTGGATTTGGACCCAAAAACAGAGATTAATTTGTTTTGATAATAAGGTCGCAATAGAAATTGCACATTATCTAGTTCAATATGACTAGAGAGTACCCTTAACCATTACATCACATTTTATTAATACATTAAATTTACGTAATAATAATAATCTCTCAATTACATTTACTTGGTTGTCACAAAATAATAATACATATTAACTTGCAGCAACAACTCTTTATTTTCTAATTATTATTTCTAACACCCTATTCTATGCCTAACTATGCCACTTCACTTGCTTGCCAATTATATTTTGGCATTAGAGCATTTTTAGTAATGGTTGCTTATAAACAATCCCTTCTGTTATATCATATCACATCAACTCTTTTTCATTTTATGGGTTGTTTAAATTTTAGCACCGGAACTTCTACAAACAACTTTGCTAAAATTTAAACAACCCATAAAGTAGAAAAGAGCTCATGTGACATGATGTAGCGCAGGAAGGCTTACTACATAGGCTCTTATTCAACTTCTTGTACGTGGCAACATCTTGGTCATTGACCAAAGTTTAAAAGAGACTTCAGCATCGATCATGATAAGAAAAGGGAAATCAAAACGTGGAATAGTATAGCAGGAAATAGGAATAGCATTGCTGCAAATTTTATAGTTTGTTGTGTACGTAGAATCATCACATAGAAAGTTCAAGGACAGCAATTGAATATTAATTTTCTTTTACATCTGTTAAATTAATAACCATAGTTATCAAATTTTATATTTTCAATCTTTGCAAATTGTGTCATGGTAGCATGTCTGTATTTGACTTAATTTCTGGGTACGTATAAATTATGGTTTCAAAGCAAATTTTTTACTCCACGTGTGTGATGGTGTGTGCTAGAATGTGAGGGCTTTCCACATTCTACCTCTTCGGTTTTGACTTTCAAAATTGCTTTGATTTTAGAAATTGTCATGGAAAATGGTATTTGAAGTGGCTACATATATATTCCACGAGAAGATCATTTTTAATTCAGTAAAGATTGAATTTGATTCAGACACTTACGTAGCTATCTCTAAGCGTGTTTACATTAATATTAACTAAACTTAATTTGACAGTTTTTAAAATGGAGAATATCTAGACATAATTAAGTAATGTCTTTACGGGTAACCTGTGAGCCTGTGACATAGTAATTCCGATAATCAAATTGAAACTTCATCCATTATTGAAATAAAGAATGTTCAGGAATGAGTATTGAATTCTTTTATCTAGCGAGGATCGATATGCATGACGATACTGTTTTTGAAAAAAGATAATAATAATTGAGTAATTTGAACAAGTTAACCATCATACGTACATAGTATTTTTTTTTTATTTTTTTTTTATAATATTCTTATCTTTCACTTATTTATTTATTATTTTGGAGAATTCTGATCACCAAGGATATGGGGCCCAAGAGCAGGACTAAACGCGGTTTGCTCCTATATAAAATAGAATAATAAAAAAAATTAAGAAAGTTGCTTCTACACGCACTGAATTTTTTTTATAAATAAATTAGCTTCACGACCCTATAAACATGCGACTTGTGTATTAGAACATTAAGACACTTGATCCTGGAAAAAGAAGAGGCATGGAAATTGAGGAAGCAACCCACAAGAGACAAAATTCGGTAATAAGAAAAAGTACAGCAACCTTAATTTGAACTCGGGGACATGTGGTAGTAGTGTGGTACAATCTTATTGCCTCAATTTAAAGGTTTTATAATTTATACCTCACACTAAACATAAAGATAATATATCAACAATATGTTATGTTAGTGCGAATGAAATTAGATTTTAATTTTTTAAAATAAAATTTTAATTAATTTGAGTGTTGTCAATAAAAAAATGTGATTGAAAATAAAAATTTTATTAAAGGTGTTCACTCAAATTTAATGATAAAAATTAATAATTAACAAAATTGATAGATATTTTGAACTGGTTATAAAAAAATTAAAAAATTACAGTAAAAAAAGCATATAGATTTTTTTTTTCGGGTAACCATGTATTAATTTAGAGTATTTTTCTCTCGATATAATTTATTTCATATCTAAAACTAGGATTTAAAAACTAACATTTAAATCTTGAACAACTTAGTTAAAAAATATAAGTCGTTATCACTTGTATCAATCAATATTAGTAAGAATAATATATATATATATATAATTGTTGAAATATTTGAGTTATGTGATTATAGAATCCGCAAAATCATAAGGGAATTAATGACATGGCTCATCGTCTCAAAAGAGAAATACAGCTATATATTATTTATGTAAAAAAATTATATATTAAATTGGAACCAAATTATTCTGTCAATATATTATTGTAACTCAAACTCCTCGCCCATTATATAATTATACATTTTTTTTAATGAATTCGATTTATATTTATAAAATTATTTTAGCACGATAACATCTTGTAAATTTTAAAACACTTTTTAATAATGTAATGAATTTTAAGATTTTTTTTAAAGATTTTTATAGGAATATAATAATTTTTAAGAATTTTTTTAAAAGATTTTTTTAATTAATATTTTGTAATATGAATTTTAATCAATTTATATCATAAGAATTTATCAAATTTGAAAGGATTTTATGAGATTTCAAAGGGCAATGTGGACTCTTAAAAATTAATACAATTAATAGAAAATAACATAAACGATAAAATTTGAATAAAGACAGATAAAATTAATACAATTTTTCAATCTTTTAATACACAATTTTTCATATTCTTTTAAATAATATTTTTTTATATATAGTTTTTTATGCATTGATATTTTCTTATTCATGCTTTTGAATTTGAAAAATATATTTAAATTTATGATATTCATTAATTAATAGAAGTGTCAAAATTGACTTGATTTAATGAGTTGAAAGGGACAGGAGAAAGAGAAAGAGAAGAGAAGAGAATAAAATAGGAGAGAGAGAGAAGGAGAGAAAAGAAGAAAGAGGGAGGAGGAGTCAAGAAAAGAGAGAGAAAAGAAAAGACGAGATAAGGAAAGAGAAGAGCGGGGAGCAAGAAAAATGTGTGTAATAGAGAGAGGATAAATAGAAGGGAAAAAATTATACAAAATTTCAAAAGTTTTTGTAAGATTGTTATATGGATGAATTATATATAAATTTTACTAAAAATCTCAAAAAAAAATTATTATTTAAAATAATCTATTAAAATTTCTTGTTAAATATCAATAAACTTTTTTTAAGTGAATTTTTTTTAATTGAATGTTACTCTTAAAAAAAACTCGATTTTTAATTAATTACCACATAATTTTTTATATTAATTTTTTTTAATTAAATATCATAAAACTTTTTTATAATAATTTTTTAAAAAAATATTAATCTAATATAGTCCTTAGATATAAATTCATCTGTTACACAATTCGATAATAATTAAGGGTTAAATATATTTTTGAATTTATAATATACTTGTTTTTTTTATTACTAAATTTTTTTTGTTTAACTTTTGGTATCTTTGGATTTTCTTTCGTCCCCATCGTTACTTTTTTAGGTTTTATGTTTATGCATGACGTGTCACCACAAAACCAAACCAGATTTGTGTTCCAAACGCACAAACATAGGCTCCTTGCAATATTTTTGCCTTCACCGATTTGATCGATCAGCATGTCGCTGCAAAGACTATTACAGGAAGCTTTTGATTAAGCTAGCTGCTAATAAATCTGCACTGCCTCAGTCACACACACCACCAGCTAGAGTTGAATACTGAAAATGAAAGGGGACAAGTTTAGGTTAGATCAAATGTTAGAACCTTTAAAAATGGTTCTTCTGGAACAATTTAGTAGGTGTTACTTACGAAATTGGTAATCATCATAATCAATTTTATAATTGCTTTAAAATCATTCAACTGATTTTAAATTTCATTTTGATCCATTTTAAATTCCGATGCCTTATGTCATTTTTTTGCACTAGTGACTTAAAATGTAATCAAAAAAAGCTTTTAGGACCAAAAGGGAAAAACTAATATATATATTACGTAGACTAAAAAGATCTGGCCTATAATTAATATGGATTTGGATTTTTTTAAAAATATTTTGACATAGGTTAAAGGGATAATGATCGAGCAATTAATATATACTTTTCCATTCCCTTCATTTTGATTTTTTTTTTTATAAAAATATCCTAATTTTTAAACCATACCTTTTATATTCCTTTCAATTTTCTTTATTATATGATCTAAATCATCTACATACATTACCTCTGACTGCTTCTCTTGTATAGATATTTAAATGTGTGAAAAGACATTTTGAAACTTCTAACATTTCCGAATTTTGGTATGATTCAACTATAAGAATGGATATTTAAATATTAAAAGGGGAAAAAAAAAAGCAGATAATGCAAATATGACTTATGAACAACTTCAAACATGCTTATTTATTATCAAGAATAGCTTTGAACATAGCATGCTGGTATATATATATAAAATTTTCATGCTCCATCATCATCCAAGAGAATTATGGCTTCAAACACGAACACAACGAGTGATAATAAGCTGAAAACAGCAGCTGAAGATGGAGATATAAACCTTCTCTACTCAGTCATCGAGGAGGATCCACAAGTTTTGGACCACATAGATTCAATATCATTTGTTGAGACACCATTACATGTTGCTGCATCATTTGGTAACATAGGGTTCGCGGTTGAGATTATGAGGCTGAAACCTTCATTTGCATGGAAGTTAAATCCACAAGGATACACACCTATGCACCTGGCTATGCAACATGGCCACAAGAGAATGGTGGTTCGCTTTGTAGATGTGAACAAAGAATTGGTCAGGGTTAAAGGGAGGGAAGGTGTCACTCCTTTGCATTTTGCAAGTCAAATTGGAGAAGTTGAACTTTTAGGTAACTTTCTCTTGGCTTGTCCAGATTCTATTGAAGATGTGAGTATTAGAAGTGAGACTGCACTTCATATTGCAGTGAGATATCAACAGTATGAGGCTCTTCAACTCTTAGTTGGATGGCTCAAGAGAACATGCCAGACCAATGCCATTCAGATAGAAAAAACAATATTAAATTGGAAGGATGACGCTGGTAACACCATTTTGCATGTTTCCGCACTCCTGAATGACTCAAAGGTACCCTTATCAGAAATTATTTTAGTTTTTTTTTTTATATATATATAATCTTTTACTTAAAGTTTAGATCGAGATAAATTACGATTTCATGTAAAATCAAAGTTAACTACTGACCCCTTTAATGATTTTTAATAAGATTATAGATCATTTATTTTATCTTCAATACAAATCAACATGAAAATATATAAAGTACGGAAAAAAATTAGATTTAATTGTAAATTTTAATTAGTAAAATTATAGAGACTTAATCAGTTATCTTTACGAATTCATTATCAAAACTAAAGTTTGATTAAAGGTAATTAATTTATATACAATCTTTATTTTTATCTATTGAAATTAGATTGACAATCTATTCCATAATTACTACTATATACATATTACTCTAATATTTATTACTAAGTTGATTTTAATAGTTCAATTTATGTTGAATCTTGTATACTATTTTTATAGACACATAATAGGGAATTAATACCTATATATCATCAAGGACGGATTCACGTCCATAAGTATTATTGGACAATTCGCCCCCCATAAACCTTTTAATTTTCTCTCATAAAATTATATATTATTTTTTTATAATTTAGAATATAGTAAAAGAATCAAATTTATAACATAAATATTGCTTCCACATATTTATTTTTAGTTCACTTTTTTTTTTATTCTCTCGATTAAATATTTTTAATATATTATTATCTACTTTTTTTATGTGTCACATTGTATATCTTTGTAAATAACTAAACAAATTCCCTCCCACCATTTAAATTACTTTCATTTTATCTTTACATATTAGGAGAAAGAGATGGACTCTTGCCTCTCTACATGTTTCTAAAATAAAAATGAATAAAAGAAATAGAGAATGGAAGTTAGTTATAAAGAAAATGAGATTTGGTTCTCACACTTAATAACCTTATAAGCAATGTCATTCGGAGATGTTCAAAGATTTATTTTCTTTCATCAAACCTTTGGTGGGACAGGCACTTGAGTTGTTACTGAAGACTAAAATAGACTTGAAGGCAAAGAATTTGGAGAAGTTAACAGCACTAGACATAGCAACTAGCGCAGAGATAAAGAAAATATTAGTGAAGGCTGGTGCAAAACGTGGTTCATCAGTAACTGATGCTCCCACCCTTGTGGATATTCTAAAATGGAACATCACATTAATGGAAAAAATAGTTATATTTATACTTCGCATTAGAAGGGATATTACGGAGGATCAACGCAATGCTTTGCTTGGAGTTGCTGCTCTTATTGCAACCGCTACTTATCAATCAGTGTTAAGTCCCCCTGGTGGAGTTTTTCAAGCTAGTGCTGACAATAATAATATTAACACCACTTCTTCGAATTCTACTGCTACAGAAGGAAATGCTGGAACTTCTGTTCTGAATGAAGGTGATTTCTTGACCTTATCGATTATAAATTCGCTTTGCATTTTGGTTTCAACTGTGACTATTCATATTCTGACGCCAAGTGGGATAGTGGGTAGTATATTGATCACACCAATGTTTTGGTTTGCATACTGCTATCTCTATTCTATGAAGGTCATATCCCCCACTAATGCTACCCAAATTGTCAATTTAATTATGATGTGTTTATTCGTCACCTTGCATTCGGGGATACAATGGACATTTTCGATAGTGTACAAGAGACTTAAGCATCATTATAAAAAGAGGAAAGTGGAAACAAGGAATATTGATATAGGAAGAAATCTATGGTAAGTGTGGCATTGCTGCAAATTTGACTAGTAGTACTGTTGAGTGTTGTGTTAGAAATAATAATTAAAAAATAGTCTGAACTATTCTAGTTGTGTATATTAAGAAAGATTATCTTTATTAAAAGTATGTTATTCTTTCTTATGTACAACTACAGGACATTTATCATTAGTATTAATATTATGTCAATATAGTAGTATTTTTATCCAGTGTTGATGTAATGGTTGAATTATTTTATTATAAATAAATGATCAATTCATGTAGTATGCGTGACAAAGTAGTACAGTCTCCTCTATTTTTATTTTTATTTTTTTGGTATAGTCTCGTCTTCTACCAAAGTGATACCATAATTTTCAACTAGAGTGGATATTAGGTATGATCGGGAATTTTTTTTTTTTGGGTGAATTAGGATTTATTTAAAAATTTGCCATTATAAGTAGGTTAATACAAATTTAAAGGACGAATATACACAGTAGATTTTTGTTTAGGTTTGTCTTTTTGGATTCAAAAAGCTCTCTCTTAACAAGGGTGTCCACGGAAGGCTAAGAAGGTATTCCATCCAAGGGAATCAAGAAGTGTTGTTTTGACTTTGAGTTCTTATATATGTATTTTCATTTAGTTTGCATATCTCCTCTCTTTTATATATCTATTAATTAAGATCTATATTAATCATCGTAATAGTTATTATTGTTATACTTTGTTTTAGCCTATTACGAGATATTAGCTTTTAACCTGGATACTTTTTTCACGTTACGTAATTTGGCTTAAATAAGTCATTTAATTTGTATTGTTATTCTTTTGGTAACATCAATATAATTCTTTCTCTGTTACCATTCTCCATTATGGTATCCGGAGAAAATAGTTTCTTCCACATAATTAATATTCTACATATCGTTCATGGTGCTTCATTTTTGTTCTTGGATCAATCGCGAAATCCCTATAATCCTTACTATCTCCAGCCCAGAGAAAATTCAGGTGCTATTCTGGTTAGTCAACCAATGTATATAGATCCAATTATTACCATTGGAGCCGCATCATGAAAAATTCTCTTATTTCCAAGAATAAGTCGAAGTTCATCAATAACAATATATGCCACCTGAAGATAATATTCATTACAATGCATGGCAAGATGCAACATGATGGTTCTTTCTTGGTTAACTCAAAGCTTTTCTCCTCCGATAATCTAAAGCATCATTTACATTTATTACAAGGAAAATGATAAATTGTGACGGACAAATTGCGACGATTTTCTTGAATCTATCGCTTTGATATTGCGACCCTTCATACGACAGTTTTTCAAAATCGTCGCAAAATTGTTCAACATTGTGACGGTTTATAGTAAACCGTCGCAAAAGTTTTTTAACATTGCGATAGTTAATCATAAACCGTCACAATTTTTTTTTAACATTGCGACAGTTAGTCATAAACCGTCACAAACTTTTCAGCATTGTGACGGTTTAGTATAAACCGTCGCAATCAACAAGACAATTTTTTGTATTATTAGAATTTAAAATTTTTTTTTTGAAGTATTATGTATATTATCTTAATAAACTTATATTTTATTAACAATTTTATATATACTTCCTTTAACATGAGGTACACGATTTTTTTTCTTCTTTATATAATTTTAAAATCGTGACTAGAATATAAATTTATCTTTCAACAAACTTATGAATTTATCTTGTATGTAAGATGTGTTAGAGTATATAAATAAATATAATTATCATTTTATAACTTAATTTTTGAGTTATCAGATTACATATTATTGAATAATTTATAATGTTAAATTTTATAAATTTTATTTTAAATATCCATCTTTTTAATATAAAAAGACACATTAAATATTATGTATCGATAAATGATAAGATATAAAAATAATATATATAATTATTTGTCATTAAATCATTTCAATTAATGAAATATAATACTATAAAATAAATTAATTTGATGAGTTATTGAAATCGTTTGAAATTTATACACTTAATCTAATTGATAATACTATTAAATATAATATTTGATCCAACTAAATTTGTATTTCATAAAAATTATTAAAAAGGTGATTCACTAATTTTGAAACTATAACATTAATGGATTGTGGGTTATATACATAATAAATATTTAGCAATAGGCTAAAATAAAAAAATAATTATTTTAAAATGGCATAATTAATCCAAATTTAAGAGATAAAAATTATAATAATAATTTTAAAAGATAAAAGAGTAAAATAAATCTAATAAATAAAATAAATAATAAAAATATAATTTAATATTTTTTATTAAAAAAAACTTTAATTAATTCAAAACTTCATTACGACATTGATAATTTTCAAAGAATTTCTTATACCAATAAAGATCAAATCTGATGATAAAAGAACACACTTTTTAAAGTTTTTTTTTTTTGTTTTTTTAATTTCATTACCGTAATAAATATGAGACGGGGCAGTAGTCGACACGGGTCGGGTTGGAATACGGTATGGGTGGTAGCGTAGAGTGGGAACCCAGAAAGGATTGAAAACGGAAGAGCCTACGAACTAAATTCCATCCCACACAAAATTCACAGATCAATTTTAAGGATTATTATTCGTTAACAATTTTAATTTTTTTTTACCTAATTTCATTTTTATTATATTTATCTATAAAATAAACTTTAATATTTTAAAATAAATTACTCATGACTAAAAATGATTTTATATTTTAAACTTAACATGTAATTTATATATTAAAATAAATTCATTGTTAAATTAATGAAATAATATTTTTAATATTTTTTTAAAATATAAATTATATTTAATATATTATATTCATGTTCATCTATATCAAATTTCATATATTTTGAAATTTTTTTTAGATAAATTATCTAACAAGATATATTTACATATATAATATATTTTATACAATAAAATAAATTAATTTGATAAAATCGTATGAAATTCATACGCTTAATCTAATTGCTAATATTATTAAATATAATAGTTGACCTGACTAAATTTTTATTTCATAAAAATTATTAAAAATGTGATTCACTAATGGAATGATTCCATAAACTCTTGGAATGTTGAATAGCTCTACATCATTTCCAAAATTACCAAGAACAAGAGTATTAGTGTTTCTTTCCCATGGTCTCAAACTATTTTGAGCAAATAGGAAAGAAGAACATGACCTTTACTAGCACCTTTTGGTAATACATCCAAATCAATTCCTCCATTATATATTATTCTAACATCCAACTGCCAAAAATTATGCAAAATACATACAATGTTAAACATGCAAAGTAAGATTTAAAAAGTTCAAATTATAAACTCGAACTTCTCATGAAATTTTACATGACAAAAGAAATGAGTATAAATTCATTATAATTTACCCGACTCCCTTCCAAATCCTCAAAAAGAGAGCCTCTGTCACACACTTAGCCTTTTCTTTCTCAACATAAGAGCTAACCTTGTGCGGTCATTGTTCTGTTTCTACCTACACTATCAATTTGAATCAAACCATTTTAAGATGCTACCTCAAAAGAATTATCATGCAACCAAAATAAAAACACTATACACCTGAACCAAAGAATACAATCTAGAAACAAATATTGAGATCACCATCAGTTCATCACCACCTATAAACTATACCTGACACTTAAGTTCTGGAAACTTGGTTATTATTTCCTCCATGACTATGTCCTTGTCCCATTTTTGGTTCAAAAACTGAACCCATCCATCATCAGGCACCATGGAATAAGTAATCTCAGTTCAATAGACATAACAGCTTGATTGATTCACCTAAAAAAAATTGAAACACACCGATAAGAAGTTGCATTGAGGAAATGAAAATAAACCCTAACGTAAGGGACTTGGCAAAGAGTGATGTAGTGAAGGAACGTTTGAGTGAGGAGCTCTTGGAGACGAAGAGTGAGGAGAGGTTTGGGCTCGGGATGGCTCTTGAGAGCAAATCTCGACGACGATGTTCTCTAATGAAGCCTTCGTGTTACACAAATATTCATGCGATGATTCCACACTGAATTGCGGTGGCACGAAGAATGTAGAAACCCTTCTGCGTCGCCGTCATCATTTGTCTAAATGACAACAACCGTATCACTATGTTCCATTGTTGTTCTGTGTAGCGATAATCGATTTGGTGTTGTGATTGTGAATATTGACTGAAAATTTGTTGGGATTAGGGTTTCTTTCAACGCACATTTGTTTTATGCACATTCCCATTTCTGTTTCTTTATGTGACATAAACTCAATAAAGAAATATAAATAATAAAAAGTTTATAATAAATTGTGGCGGCTTGTATAATTGTTTTTGGCGGTTAAAATAATTCCCAGGATTTTCTAGCAGTTTTCTAAGACCCCCACAATTAAACCGCCACTAAACTTACATTTTCTTTGTAGTGTATGTATTGATATAATTGTTATGAGTTACTCTATTATAAATTAAAGATTAATTCATGTAGTCTTCTCTTTATTTTCAAAGTCTACCAAAGATATATATATATATATATATATATATATATATAAAAATTTTGTATAGGCTTATTAGAATTTTTCACTAAATGAACCTTAGCATAAAAATAAGGTTTATGAGAATCCTTTTGTGAAATACGATGCTTATCTTCAATTCGTAAGGAAACTAATATATAAGTAATATAAAGTGAAATTAACAGGTTTATGTTTAAGGCTTCTTGCAAATTCAGACCAAGAAGGAGACAATTTAGAAATTAAAAAGCTAATAAGCATCATGTCAGGCAAGGTAATTTCTTTCATCGTCATATCATGAATTATATTTTCAAATTCATTAACTTGAACAGAAAAAGGTTTTCCATCTTCCATTTGAAAATAAATCATTCTTTCACAAGAGTATCTTCTTAAACCCTTTTCAGTAGAACCATATTTTAGTTCAAGAGCATCCCATAACTCCAAAGTAGTTTTTGTATGACAAAATATTTTATAAATATTTTCAGATAGAGCACTCAAAATAGGACCATGACACAAAATATTTTTATCACTAGAAATATCATCAAAAGAGCTTACTTTAACCAAAGCACCATCTAAGTTTTTTTTCTTCAAATTTTCCATTTAAAATGATAGAAAACAAACCCACCTTTGTAAGCAAAAATTTCATCTATTGTTGCCAACATAAAAAGTTTTCACCATTAAATTTTTCTAGCTTATTATTCAAACTTTAAAATATCCATTAATTGCAAACATG